GCGGCCACGCTTCACACAGGGCCGCAGCAGGAAGGAGAGCCTCCTGCAGATCGCAGAGAACCCGGAGCTCCAGCTCCAGCTCGCTGGCTTTCAGACTCCAGCTCCACCCAGCCCAGACCAGGGTGCCCTGCCTGGCTCTGCCAGAGACAGCAGGGAGCCCCGCTTACAGCTCGTGGCCAGGACCAATTTCTTCCATGTGCCACTCACCCCTGGCGCAGCCCTGGGGACCCACTTGGATCTGGGCAATTGCTATGAGGTGCTGACCTTGGCCAAGAGGCAGAACCTGGAGACCCTGAAGGAGGCAGCCTACAAGGTGATGAGCGACAACTACCTCCAGGTGCTGCGCAGCCCCGACATCTACGGGTGCCTGAGCGGGGCTGAGCGGGAACTCATCCTCCAGCGACGGCTCCGGGGCCGCAAGTACCTGGTGGTGGCCGACGTGTGCCCCCAGGAAGACTCTGGCCGCCTCTGTTGCTATGACAGCGAGCGTGATGCCTGGCACCCCCTGGCTCAACTACCCCCCGAGGCTGTGTCCCGGGGCTGCGCCGTCTGCAGCCTCTTCAATTATCTCTTCGTGGTGTCCGGCTGCCATGGGCCTGCAGGCCAGCCCTCCAATCGCGTCTTCTGCTACAACCCACCAACAGGAATCTGGAGCGAGGTGTGCCCGCTCAACCAGGCCCGGCCGCACTGCCGGCTGGTGGCCTTGGACGGGCACCTGTACGCCATCGGGGGTGAGTGTCTGCACACGGTGGAGCGTTACGACCCTCGCCTGGACCGCTGGGACTTTGCCCCGCCGCTCCCCAATGACACGTTCGCCCTGGCACACACAGCCACAGCGTGTGCCAGTGAGATCTTCGTCACGGGGGGCACGCTGCGCTACCTGCTGCTCCGCTTCTCCGCCCAGGAGCAGCGCTGGTGGGCGGGCCCCACAGGGGGCAGCAAAGACCGCACGGCCGAGATGGTGGCGGTCAACGGCTTTCTTTACCGCTTCGACCTCAACCGCAGCCTGGGCATCGGAGTGTACCGCTGCAGCGCCAGTGCCCGGCTCTGGTATGAGTGCGCCACGTACCGGACGCCGTACCCGGACGCCTTCCAGTGCGCGGCGGTGGACAACGTCATCTACTGCGTGGGGCGCCAGCGCATGCTCAGCTTCCTGGCCGACTACATCTCGCCCAGGTTTGTGCCTGATGAGCTGCAGAGCTTCCCGTCCCCACAAGGGACTCTCCTGCCCACGGTCCTGACCTTGCCAACCCCCGATGTGCCTCAGACCAGGGTCTAGCAGCCTCTCGGCTGGGCTCGCCTTGCAAACTGGGAAGCGAAGCGCATTACCCCTGCCCATCACTCCGTGGGCCACTCCGGGGTGTCCAGGCAGCCTAGGAATTTGTCCATCAAGAGCCAAATTGCAGTCTTACCTCCCCTCCTGGCCAGGAGGGTCTTAGCAGAGTCTTCAGCCTCGCCACTGCCGAAAATAGAGCTAGGGGCCTGTGTTCCAGGCAGAAGACATCCACGGAGGTCTTCAGGGATGACCACCACATTGCTTCCAATCTGAATCTTGAAGGGGGAAGGCACAGGGGGATCCCACCAAAGCTCATAGCCTTAACGTGACCCTAGTTCCAGATGCCAGCTGGGCCCTCTAAAGATGGGCCAGTTCTGTCTGAGCCCTGAGTGCCCCTAGACATTGAGCACTGGGCCCTACCCCAAGGTGCGCAGAAGCCTCTGGTATACACAGGTGGGAAAAATCAAGGGAAGTGGTTCTGGCAGGACCAGGAATGAGCCTGGCAGCCCAGGGGCCAGCCCCAGGGAGAGGGAGTTTGAGAAGTAGAACAGCTAAAATTGGAGCATCCCGCGGGCACTCTTGCTTGTGGGGTAAATTTACCAAGGCCCACTTTGCCTTTTCTCATTACCTAGAGAGGAGGAGGGACGTCCATTTAGCAAGCCATGTTCTTCTAGCAAGCTACTAAGAACACAACTGGTTCTACGTACGAGGGCTCAGGACGTGATCCAGAGGCCACCCTCCTCCAAGGCCCCTGTCATGTCCTTTGCTACCTGATCACTGCACTC